TAAGTAGTGGCAAGTAATGTGGCAGAAATTTATTTGCACTTCCGCTTTTTCAACGCTAAAAAATTATTACATTCGTGTGAATCTAGCTCGGAACTAAATTATTTAATGTGATGCGGATTCTATAGTTTTCATTTCAACTTTGTTAAAATTCGTAATTTGTTTTGAGAAAATCTGAAATTCTTATTCATTAATTTTCTAATTTTTCATATTGTGTAGCAAAATTAGTAACAAATTTTAAGCTATTTAATTATTCATAGGGAAGGATATTAAGATAAGTTTTTATGTTTTTGAAATTTTGTTGAGAATTTTGAATACAAATTTTATAATTATCTAAAAATGAAAGTAGTAGGTGTAAAAATAAGTGAAATTAGTACAGATACGTAATATGAAATTATGGTAATGCATGTAAAATTTATTGGTGATTGTATGTTAAGTATAGTGTATGTCGAGGAGTACTGGTTCCTTCAACAGAGGCCTGTTTATACCTCTGTACAGTTGTTCCTTTTACTCTCTTCATGCAAGATAATGTTGGAGGCTCTCATTTTATGAATGCATGAAATTTTTTATATATTATATTATATTTTTTTATTATGGAATGTATTAGGCAGTTCTCAAAGGCCAGTTACCTTAATGCGAGGAACGGAGGCCTTTTCAAAACTGTCTAGGCACCCTGGGCCACCAGTGCAGAGAACACACTGGTTAGCTCAAGAGACAGCCCTATTGATGGATATGTTTGTTTAGAAGTATTGCGAGGCTTCCAGTTTGTAAAATCAGGAATTGTAAATGAAGATGAACGGTGAAACCATAAATTCTGAAAATCTTAATCCTATTATTTATGATGTTAAATTATAATTTATCACTATAGAAATAAGTATCATAATATTTATGTGCATTACATTAATTATAAGTAATGATATGTAAACGTTTTATTTTGTAATATCTGCGATAACAAGAACTTTCCTGAAGAATTTATTATGTGACTCTCAAACAAAAGACTTTTGGACTGAAATGCTGAAAAATTCAATAGGACTCTAAAAATTAAAGCATCTATTTTTAAAAAATTGGGTTTATAAATAATACTTTACAGGATCAAAATTTTATTATTTTATTTATATATTTTTTTAATTTGCTACTGCTTTAACTCTTTCTTTTTAAAAAGGCTTCTCTGTCGCTAAGCCTTTTTCTTTTTGAAGGGGGAAATATGTAAGATAAAAATGTATGAATCAGAATTATAATATAACTATAAACATTAATTCTTCCTCTCTATTCTAAAATGGTAATAACTTATCTGCATTGCGTCTTTCAAATTAATCATGCGATCTTATGTAACCGTTAATACCAGATGCCTCTTGACGACCAATCGCCGAATTGTAAACCAAAACTTTTCTCTTCGCGTGCTTCCATTTTTCATAACTACGCACTTCAGCTTTTGCCCTCTACTCTGCTAAGATGTAATTTCGCTGGCTTGCTTTCTATCCAACAATATCAAAAATGTAAATCTTCTGTGGAAAGGCACGACTAGAGTGCCAAGTGATTGTGGCCACAAATACCAATTGGAAATAAAAATGGAATTAAAACTGCTTCGACTGCCAAGTTCTTTAGATATTACCAAGTTAGCATTACTAGCATACTACGCAATCAAATTCTTCTTCAGTATGGGTCTAATCACGCATCTACAGTATTCCGTTATTTCCTTTGCTTTTATTATGACATATATATATGCTATTATTATTAACTTCCAATTAGACAACTTAGTAGAACACAGTTATTATTATTTTATAAGTTTGTTTGACGTTCTAAATATATATCAAAATTTAAAGAAATGAAAAAAAAATAAACTCTGTTTTCAAAATGATAAACAAAATAAAAAAATTAAATTCTATAATAATTATGTTACATCAATCAATGCACATACCTTGAAATTCAAATTCTTTTCAATTTATTTACGTATAGCAAATTCTTGTAGCTTTAGGCTTAGGTTTCAGATTAATCCCGCTTCTGATTTATGTTAGCTTCCTTTTGTAGTTAAATTAATCATTCATAAAATGGTTGTAAGAGACAAACAAACATTTATTTAAAGATAAATCTTAATAACCTACACGTAACGTATTCGTAAACGTATATAACATAACAATCGTACTTACTGCATCGTACCATTAAACATTTTAAGCGTGCATCATCTCAATGTATATTTTTTAAAATTATAAATAGAACGACATCCAGAAATTAGCTGTTGCCATTTTCTCAATAGATAGTTTGTCTAATAACAATTAAATAATTTTCAATCGTGCTTACACTAGTTAGTCACTAATGAACACTAGCTTATAGATATTGGTGACTAACAATCTTGACTGGCGGCGATTTCCTTCGTTTTAATTAAAAGCGTTCTTAACAAAATATTTCTTTCTGCCAATTTTTCCAAGTGCCCAAAAAATCCAATAAGCATACCAAGTTAGCATTACTAAATTTAATGATAATTAAAAAATTAATTAAAAAATTACGTGAAAAAATTATGATAAAATTATTGATTCTAGCAAAAACAGCTCTGGGCCATATGGCGAGCAGCCACGAGGAAATAAACAAGCACGAGAAATTATCGCTGAAGAAATTGCTTCACGTGGGAGATATGTCTAAATCTGGATCAGAGAAAAGCAGAAATATTACCAATAATAGATTATTCACTACTACAACGTCTGAGAGGTCAAAAGCCTCAGTGAAGAAAAATACTAAAAGTTCAAAAAGCACATCTGCTACTTTCGCGGATATAATTAAAGTTTACAATGAAATTAAGGCAATCGGTTGCGAATTTTCAGTTCTTGATGTAATCAAAATAATCACTAGCAGATTTAATGAAATTAGCGAAGCTCCTTCAGTTGACAAGATGCTTGTATTATTTAGTGTATATGAAGAAATCTTCAATGGGGGAACTTCGGGAAGTTTCATTTAAAATATTTCTACTCTTACTATGGTTACTTCACGCATGCTGAAGTTGTCAGTTAGTTGGTTGTTTTTGTATGCATTTTGTAATTATCGTTAGTATATACATATATATCTCGTAGATTTTATTCGCAAGTATCTGATAATTTAGTAAGTGGTGTGCATTTGGTATTTAGATTTTTCTTATTTTGCATTTTGAATCTGTTTATGATTTTACAAATATAGAGTGGAAGAGTCCACATGCGTGACGTGTGTGTCACAGCTTTTAATTACTCGGCTTACGTTGTAAATCAGCAGAAGTGACAAAATAATTGAGGTAGATGAAAGCCTTTTCACTCAGAGTTACGTTGGGCGTGTTCTTCCTCCACAATGGATTTTCAGCGGATTGTATAGAAAATTAACTGAATGTTTTTAGCCGCTGTTCTAAATCGATCGGCAGAAACTTTACTGAATGTTTTACAGAAGGATATTGCAGAAGGAAGCATTATCTATACTGTTTGCTAGAAAACACACAAGTCTGATGAATTGAGGTACCGGTTTCCAGCATTTAACTGTCGGCCACAAATATAATTTTGTAGATCTTAAAACTAAGTGTCATACACAAATAATGAAGCAGCTGTGGGGTAGTGCTAAATGATGTAATAAACGCCTTTGGGACATTGCTCTATTCTTATTTGTCTGAATTTATGTAGAAACGTTTATATACGCACAAAAAAGGGGGGAAATAAAAGAAAAAGAAATTTTCTCTGCATATTGGAAGAGATAAAAGAAAATTGTGTGCCCCCAACTTAATTTCAATTACGATCAGCTGTTTTATTTATGTTTTTATGGACTGTAATAAAAATGACCTTTCCTCTAAATTAAAATAATATTTTTAGATAGTTATTCACTATCATGCTCCCTTCCTGGCGTTAGTGTTACCATCATTATTTTGGTATCATTGGCAAAAACAGGAGTTTGGCAATTTTTTACGGTTCCAAAAACGGAATTTTAGAGTGGATTCATAGGTGCAATCTCACATAAAGTAGCAGGAATGTTTCAGTAAACGACAGGCAGATATTAATAATATAAAGAACAATTCTCGAATACCACCGTTGAGTAGTTACTGCGTTTCTCTCTGAAGCCCCACAGGTATAATGCATATCGACAAGCTCCGCGTTCGTGTATCGATGCACGTCGCTTGAAATCCGAGAGAAGAACGACGATCTACCCCAGCAGAATGCTTTTTTCTTCCCCGACCAGCTTCCCGTACCACAGTAGTATGAAACAGCCGGTTCAGGAGCAGGAGGCGGAATAAGCCGACAGGAGAATTGTGGAGAGTATTTTATGATTCTTAATTTAGTTTAAATAAATAAACAGTTTCTTGTTTGAAGAGATTTAGACATATAGCAAAATGAGTTCGTGGGTAAGTACTATGATTCATTGCTTTAGAGTACTATCCCGTGAGCTCTAGTCTTTAATTGGTAATAAAATGAATATGTTAAAAATAAGCTTTATTTTTTAGGATTGCGCCCCCCCCCGTGAAATTAATTGTACCTCGACAATCCCAAAAATTTAGAACAGAAATACCTTTCCATAACTTTTCCAAGTGGCTGAAATGAAACACTATACCAAAATATCTGAAATGTTAAGAAACCTTAAAATTAAGGAAAACATTAAAGTAAAATTAAGAAAGGAAATTATATAGTTTCCCAAGACCTTAATTTTAGGTGTAAATTTTAATATCGACAATATGTTTTAAGTTTTATAGTTAGCATTAAATGAAATAAATAATAAAAATTAGTAATGTAATTAAAATTACGGAAAATAAATATGCTGTTATGAATTGAAAATTTAAGAAATACATTAAAATTAAGAGTGCATATTAAACTATAAAGCTTAAAACATATTGCAGAAATTAAAAATTTACATCGAAAATGAAGGACTTGGAGAAACATAGAGATTTTTTCTTAATTTTTACTTCAATTTTTTCCCTTAAATTTAAATTTTCTTAACACTATAGACATTTTAATATATTGTCACATCAGCTTCTTGAAAACGTTCTGGAGATATTACATAAAGTTATGCGTAAGTACTATTTCTGTTCTAAATTTTTGGGATTGTCGAGGTACAATTAACTGCACAGGTTGGTGGTGGGAACAATACTATAAAAATAAAATTTATTTTTAACATATTTCATCTTATTACCAATAAAAGACTCTCCTTATCAGTTAGCAGCACCTTCACTTGCGGGCTCATCTGCAATCCACCTGCAGGCTTGCTCCGCCTCTTGCCCTTGAACCAGCTAATTAAGTGCCGAAGTCAGGATGCAGGTTCCTGGGCAAAGCCCTACCCTGTGTGCAGCATGTAGAGGTTGTGCATATCTTTTGTTGAGCATAGCATAAATTATAGCATTTTAGCTGTCAGTTCGTAAAATTGTAGAAAATAGCAATATCGGCATACGAGAAATTGAAAAGTAAGTCTGATAGCAATTATATGTCCTGAAGTTTCAGGTGATTTGATGTATCCGCAAGTAGTTGTAGTGAGAAGAGAAATTCCATTTCGCATGCTTTCGAAGAAGAGTTAATCAAAATAAAATGCAGCAGCGGTGGAGTCAGTCAGTGAGCGATCCAGGTCATCTGTTTTGAAAAGTTGTGTGGAAATAGTACGTGCAGAAGAGAAAGTGCAGCGCATAAACGCTATAGGTAGGCATGTTGGGAGGGGCGGGGTTTCAGAGCAATACAATTTAGGATAGGTTGAGCCGAAAAAGGGGGAAGGGTTACTATAGTATGCATTAAGTAATGATAGAAAATTCAATTTATCTAAGATTGAAAAGTATAATCTAACTATTAAATAAACTATTACATTACAGCCCAGCTGTGAGACAAAATATTTCACAAGGGTAAAGTCCTTATTATCAGGTAAATCTTAATTTAAAGTTTAAGAGCACCAGATCTCCCGGGCATGAACCGGCTATTTCATACTACTTACCATCTTAACTTGTCATTTCCTTACAAGCACTTCATTACAAAATATGTTTATTTCGGTCCCCTCTATGTGCTTTTTTACGCCTTTGCTCGGTACATTTAAAATACTCTTCGTATCTGTTCATGTATGTTCATGCATAAAAATGCGCATGTATGTTCATGCATAAAAATGTGCATGCATGTTCATGCATAACAGTAAGAGGGTTTTTTGAATTTTGGAAATATGGCGTGCTGCTTAATTGATTCTAAATTTTCACAGAAATGTCACATGAAAAGTTTAAAATATTTTTTAGATTTTTGTAAACATAGGAAGTTCCGAATCTTTCTAAAATAGCTGACCTGAAATATGTTTTCATTATTTGAGGAGGGCTATGGAAACCTTCCCAAGTAGCACAGCAACTTCGTAACAACGTTGCAAACTCGTCGCGAAACGTTTTCGTTGCTAAAACGTTGCAATATGTCATCTTTAAGACGCCCAGATGTCCGCGAACATCCACTGTTTTGCAACCGTTGCAAAGACGTCTTTATTACGTCTTTGCAGATGAGGTTTATGTTGAATAGACGTCGTTATTGCGTCTTTCTCACGTTATATTTTGGTTGTGAAAGCATCGCATCACGACGTTTTAACGACGCCTAAATGTTCGCAAAATTCAACCTTTTCGCAACAGTTGTGAAACGTCGTTATGACGTCCTTTTGTGTTACATATTAATTTATACAGAATAAGCTTAATAATTAATGTATTTTTCTTCTTTTTTAAAATTTTGTATTCCTTGTATTTGTTTAAATATTTTATCATTTCCTGAAAACCAGGAGATAATACAATGTTTTCTCTTTAGAATAAATATGCATAATTAGTAACAGCCTTAATTATTTTCAGTACTTTAAACTATATTTTTTGAATAACTTAAATTCTAAGTTACGATTAGTTAAGATTTCATCATTTTTTCTCCTTAAGTGAGAGTAATTATGAAAGTGGTTGTTATAAATGTACTGTAATATTAGTAGTAGGTTTTAAGTAAATAAAACTCAATTAGACATAAACAAAAGTAAACATATATATGTTGGTATTAAAAACAGCATTTCTGATAACAGCATTATCACATTTATTTCTGTTTAATCTCAGAGACATTGAAAATTGCCCCTGTTATGATCAATTAGGAAGCGGTTCTTAAGGTAACATAATCAGTATTTTACCTGAACTCAATTCGCGTTTCAAAGTAAAAAATATAACCACTAACTTCTATATCTCCAAGATATGCAACTGAAAGACGGTATAAAGTAGTTAATAAATGTGATCAAAAATATTTTATACAAAAATATACCTAAATCTAATAACTTCTCATATTCATAATATGAAATAATAACCTAACAAACAACGTACATGACAGCACTATTTAAGAAAGAACACGGACTAATAGAGTTTGAAAATATAAATAGCAGAAAGAAGATAACGGAAATAAAATTTCCAATTAATAAAAAAATATTTGTGTTTTTAAATAGTAAGCAGTTAAAAGGGCAATAATTATGGATTGCAGTATTTACCAGTAATGCTGATGTTCCTTAACACCATTTCTTCCGATCGTATGTTAATGTTATCAGGTTCAGTGTTCCTCCTTACTTGCTTTGGGAACATTAAATGACCTGACTCGGAACAGCGAGCTTACTAAAGCTATGTTCAATAAATGTGGGAAGTAGACAAGATACACAGGAAGGGTATACGAAACCCTTTATTTTTATCTCTTTACAATGATTTCCGGACTTCGGAATACAGAGACCAACCACTTGTGGTCTGAACGTAAGAATATAAAAATATTAACTAAACTCTAACTAAACTAACTTTGGATTAATAAACAAGTGCCTACGTGAAGATTGGCCGTATATTAACAGAAAGGCCGTATGTAGTACAGAGAACTGTTAACACTACGATACGTTTAAAATTATCAAGAGGATTAAACCTCTGGCCTTGAAGGCAACCAGCAACCGAGTAAAACTGCTATGGCAAGCGGCCTGCTCCTAATCACTCCTTCCTCTCTCTTGCTTGGCAAAAAGCCACAACTTAAGTACTTGGCGTTCGCAAGACAAATTTGCATAAATAAGTTAAAGCTTTTAATTCTGGCCGGAAGTAGAAAATAAGAAGTGATAGTAAAGATTTAAAATAAAATAAACGTTAGTAAAACTTAAGATCCTTACATACTTCCCGCCAGAGTTAATTAGTTTGAAACTGAGGTCTAAAACGACCTTGTTGAAAACTTTTAGCTCTAGAATCTAACGCGAGGCCAATCTTTTACAAACATTTCTCACTAGAAACTAGAAATTAAAAAAAAAAAATCGTTTTTTACATTATCAACTTCATGGACAATTACTTTTCATCTGTACTGCATCTAAACAGGAGCTCTTAGTTGAAATCTGGTTCCTTCCAGAGATCTGGAAGGAAAACTAGTTTAATGAAATGTTACACAATTAAATGGCAAGTAACATGAATATTTATATTTCTCTTAACATTCTTATTTCATTCATGACGTTATTTAATTCTCTCCCCGTGCTCTCTAACATGTGGGGTTGTAAAAGAAAAACACCAAACACGAACGTGTTTATGTACAAGTGTTCAAACACTACCGCCTGCAATCAAAACACTAACGTCTTAAAATTCAACATAACAAGACCTCATAACACACCTTATATTCATCTCTAAACCCTGAGGTACTATTCTGAAAGTGGCTAACTCTGAAGTGTAGCGTCAGAGAGCCTAACTACATTCATTCAACCTTTAACACATATTCACAATAATTTGGCTCTTTTTACAGTCACACGAATAAGTTAAAATTTTCTGGCATTACTTTCACTTTTAACATATCATAGTATTTCTTAACGCTTAAAATAACCGTTCACATTGTATATAAGAACATATTAACATGCCGTTAATTTTACGTATTTTAAAACATACATTAGTAGTACATTGTTAACTTCTATTCTTTTCCAAGCAAGTGCCAATTCTTCTACATTGATATACTACATTTCAAAAGTCTTTCAGACTAAAACTTTTTTCTTGCCAGAATCTTTTAAATAAAATTTTATACAATCAATAACTTTTACAATATTCAAGTATTTACACATTCCTATTATAATAATTCTAGTTTTACTCGCGAGTATTGAAAAACATATCAATCAAAGCAATAATTGATTCGGATCGTCACAGTACAACACCTGAGAGTGCAGAGAAGCTTCATGTATCACATACATGCATTGAAAATCAGTTAAAACAACTTGGCTCTGTTCAAAAACTCGATACATGGGTTCCTCACGAACAGAAAAAAACGCATTTAACGCAACGCATTAACAGCTGCCATTTGCGTAATGAAAATGATCCCTAAAGAAAGAACTAAAGAAACGTAATGAAAATGATCCATTTTTAAAACGACTGATAATTTGCGATGAAAAATGGGTTGTTTACAACAATATCAAGCGGAAAAGATCGTGGAGCAGGCCAGGTGAACCAACTCAAACAACATTAAAAGCTTATATTCATCAAAAAAAGGTTTTGTTATCAGTTTGGTTGGGATTACAAAGGAATTGTCTACTTTGATCTCTTACCACCCAACCGAATGATTCAATTCTGTCTACATTGAACAACTAACGAAATTAAACAATGCAGTTGAAGAAAAGTGGCTCGAATTGACAAATCGGAAAGGTATTGTATTCCTATCATGACAATACAAGGTCGCACACATCTTTGGTCATTAGGCAAAAAATATTGGAGCTTGGTTGGGATGTTTTGCCACATCCACCATATAGTCCTTACCTTGCACCATCTGATTACTTTTTGTTTCGATCTTTACAAAACTCCTTGAATGGTAAAAATTTCAATAATGATGATGATGTCAAATCGTACCTGGTTCAGTTTTTTGCTAATAAAAACCAGAAGTTTTATGAACGTGGGATTATGATGCTGCCTGAAAGATGGCAAAAAGTCATTGATCAAAATGGGCAATGCATTACAGAATAAAGTTATTTAGTTCCATGAAAAAATTTTCTAAAAAAAATCCGCAATTACTTAGTTGCCAACCCAATAGTTGTATCTGTGGATGTTTCTTGTCTAATTATTCAAACCTAATTTTTTTGAAATAAATCTCTTCTGTTTCAATAATAACATTAAAAATACTGATAAATTATTATATGTAAAAATTTTACTGCTCATAAAATTAATAATAATGATTGTGTTTACAGGGGTGACCATACAGAAGCAATAGAAATTGATTATGATCCTGATTTAACTAGCTATGAAAAATTATTGCAGTTATATTGGGAGAACCATGATCCAACAGAAGTGCATAAGAGACAGTATCGATCAGCCGTTTTCTACAGGGATGAAGAGGAGAAGAAATTAGCCCTAGACAGCAAACAGAGAAAGGAAAAACTAATTGGAAAACCAGTTGTAACAGTTATAGAACCATTTGATAGATTTTACAATGCTGAAAAGTATGTTTTTCTTTTTAATATTAAATTTATGTGTATATGTTTTAATAAGCTCTTCATAAATTATGCACACTTAAATGCTGCTATTATTTTAAAAGAGCCTAGGCATACTAAATTATATTCATTTTAGAGTTAAAATACTAAATTTTGTTGTGAGAAAATTCCACTTTTGTGTCAAATAAATACTTTTAAACATAAGATAAATATTTCATTATTGCTAACATTTTTGCTTTGCTAATATTTATTATATATTATATTAAATGCTCAGCTTATATTTATATAAAGATTATATGATATAATATTGATATAAAGATTTCATTCACGTTTTCAGGCATTCATTGCTCTGTTTATTGATACAGTAATATTTTGAACCTTGCTATCCATCGTATGGAAAAAGTAAATGATTAATACTTTAATTTTTAGAATTCAAGCTTGTGAAATTATTTTAAGAATAACCGACATCAATGAACAATTAATCTAAATACAGAGACTGAGACGTTACTGAAATTCTAAAATTGTTACTTTTTATTATTTCTCATTTAAAAAGTTCTAAATTTAAAAATTTGGAAACTGAAGATAAGATTTATGTTGTAAATTTTCAATTAACCCTGTGGTGTATAAGATAGCAGTAATTGTTCTAAATTAAGTAATTTTTTTACATTATTGTGATGAACTTCATCTATTCTATTTCAACAGAAATATTTTCAGGAAAACTGTAACAAATTTTATCTGATTTTTTATTCTGTTGTTATAATTTTTATACAGTTTGTTATTATATATTGTTTTCTTTTTTTAAGTTTTATTACTTTTCCTTTTTAAAGCTTTGATTGTATATTTCATATTAAATAAATTTAGAATATATCGGTAAAATATATCGGTATGAAAAAATTATAGATACATTTTTAAGAAATACATCACAAGTCTTGGATTACTTTGTGCAAAATTTAAAGTATAGTGCTTGAAGGTATTTGTTTCATACATTCATTAAAAATATGTATTTTGCTTTTCAGCTACCACCAAAAATATTACCTCCAGACTCATCATGAAAAACTATTTAAAAGCCTTGGTATTAAGGAGAGTGATTTAATTGATTCAACATTAGCAGCAAAACTAAATGGATATCTTGTTGGCTTGAACACTGTGGATGCTTTCAATGCAGAATGTCAAGCCTTTGGACTTTCTCCAGAACATATAGATTATGTTCGCCAAATGATAGCAAAAGGCAAACGATCTCATTGTTAACTGTTCATTAAAATAAATAGATAAATAAATAAAAATTAAAAAACATTGTTTTTTAAAAAATATTTAGTGACATAAAAATTGTCTTTGGAAAAACGTACTTGTGCTTATTATTTTAACAGGAAACAAATATTTTATAATTATTATTCAATTTTTTAATCCATTAAGTTTTTGTCACTAGCATAGATGTAAAGTCACTTTTTCAAGTATGTAAAACAAATATTACACTATGTAAACAAGTATTACGCTCTTTTAATGATAAATATTAGAAAAATTTAGCATGGATTTTTGATGGCTTTTATGTACATTACTAGTATAAAAAACTTGGAAGATAGAGGCTGAAAACCTTCTGCAGAGGTGCCAGCTAAGCAAATAAAAACAAATTCAGTGAGAAAATGTGCCAAGTGGCCTTAATGGAAAAGTACTAAACAAAGTTACATAAAAATGATGAGAAGTTGAAAGAATATGAGAAGGCTGGGGAAAATCAAATCATTAATCAGATTAGAGTACGAACAAGCATAGGGAGAGATGACGTCTGTGTTTCTCTAAGGAAAATTTGGTTATTTCTGATTACATGCATCCCAAACAACATACCCAAACTTGTTGGTAACTCCAGAGAGAAAACGAGGTTCGAATCCCGCAAACGAGCTGGCTGCATGGGCGTTTTCATGGTTTTTCCCATGTGTAACGTGTATACGAGCCAGTTTCCCTTAGAAAGGCCTCCACGAAGGCATCCCTCCCCTTAGGGAGATAGCCCTAGTATGCTATGCCATAATTAAATAAACCAAATAAACCAGAGAGAAAAAGTTGTTTGGGTATCTTTACATCTAGTTTAATGATGTGTCTAATGCTGCTTATTTTTTACATTACTCTTTTTCCATTAGACATATGTTTTGGTTTTTTGTGTTGTTCTCATGTACACAGTGATCTATCTTTTTTAGCTAAAAAAATTGTCAGAGATTTGTACAAACTCGGATCTGCTTACAACATTTGCTCCAAAATACTCAAATGGAAAGGGGAAAAAAAAGAGGTGCATAATATCTTTAACCAAGTTACAATATGCTGCATGCATGTAGGAAGTTTAGTACAAGGTTTCGCTATGTGGTCCATTGCTATGCTAAACACTGAAATTCCCATAGGAAAGATCGTAATCTGCAGTCATACTGTCAAAAATGTCAGAAGGAACAAAGCCGTTTGATGAGGATGCTATTTACCTATCTGGGGTTGCCATGTAAATAATTTTTGCGACATCAGTTGTTGCAAGTTATCAGACAAATAGCTTTTGGCGACATGGTGCTAATTTCCCATGCTTTTGTAGAGTGGTGTGCAGGTAATCAAAGAGTACCAAAAATTTAATAGTTTTGTCCAGTTATTATGTCATTTATAGGAAGCCTATTTTAGTTAACATAATTCTTGAAATCTCTCTTCTCCCACATTTTAAGTAGAATTCAATGAACAATTCTATATTTTTTATATGATAATTGTTGTTTTGTTTCATTATTCAGATTCTCAATTCTAGCTACTTTATTTCATGTAATTGTTCTTTCATCCTTATTTAGATTATGTATATATTTATTTAAGTATTTGGATTATAATGATTGGTATTTGAAATTATTTTGATAAGCTAATCACAGCAGAATCATATTTCATATATTTCTGTAAAAAACAGATGTACATAAAATGGTAAAATCCCACTCTCACTTTTGGTTGTAAACAAATGAAATTTTTAACTTCTAGAAAATGATGTATATTTGTCAATTTTTTTTCTTATGTGTATATGAAAATAAAATTTTAACATATAAACAGTACATTTTATACTTTCAACAGATTTATTTCATTAGCTAGCATTTTCCTGTGCCTGCATCAGTGCTGCTTTTTTATTATAAACATGGATCATGAATCTCTGCAAATATTTTGCTTTATTTAAATATGTGCTTCTGGGTGCACATTCTGCTGTCTTTTAATAACAATTTTGAAATTATATGGCTTGTATCAAGAATTTATTTGTCCACAACTTTTCAGACATTGCATTTCAAATTAAATGCGTATTATAACCAGTTTGTTTATATTCCACATTAGCAAACACATTTACAACAATGGCAGTTATATCAGAAGGCTTGCTGTTGATAACTAACAGCACAATACCTGGCATCACATTTCTTTGCTGCTGCAAGATAGCCCATAATCACACCAAACTGAGTTCCGTTGACTGCATGAAAGTGACACCTGTAGTTTGTGTGCCTTCGTCCCTGTCGCATGTCATAGCATGGTTGAATTGGGCCTGTGAATTTTACAGTTGGACACCAGAGCAGTGGGTCATGTATGTTTTACAGTCGAGTCTCAAATTAATGTCTGAAGATTTCTGAGGTGCAGTGATATGGTGAGAACCAGAGACATGCTATCAGCTGACAAACATTGTCGAAAAAGACCATTACAGAGGAGAAGGTTTACTTGTATGGGCTGGGATAACGACCGGCCACACCGACCTCTGTGTGACTCTGTTGATTCCGCCACACCCTTCTAATATAACGACGAAATTCTGCACCCTTTTGTACCTCCTTTTATCACTGCAGTGGTTACCGATGCAATATTTATGGACAATAGAGCTTGAGTGGTGTGGAATTATCTGGTGAGTGAAACCTTTCCACAGCTGTCATGGCCTACTAGATGACCAGACTTGAATCCCATACAAAATATATGGGATGACAGATAATAGGTTGCAGTGTGCTGCCAGGCATCTTCCATGAGCTCTGACTACAATGGGCGATACTGCCATAACAAGTGATCAATGACACTTTTGCCAGCTTGTCTTCCCATTGTCAAGCATACATTTCAACTAGAGAGTATCATAACCATTATTAGCGGGATGTTCTCATTTCACGTTCTTCCAATCAATTTGATGATGTGATTATCATAATACATTGGCTTTTGTATGTCTTTGCTGTGTAGGCTAGTAATGCCACACAAACTTATTGGATCAATTTCATTCATATCCATAAAATAGTTTTCGTTTTATTTTAGGCTTGGCCTATGTGTCTTAATTTTTGAGCAGGAGTGTACTTCAAAATGTTGCCTATTTTATCTCTTCTCCTTTCTGTTGATATTATTTTCATTTCATATAATAATATTTAAAAATGTAATAGCTTGTAATTAATATAACTTAATTAAATAATTCTTAAGATATGCCAAGAATTAGTTGGTACAGATGCTTAGTGCCAAGATGTGCAGATTACAGAAATTCTACTGTAAATGATTAAGATCAGTGGTCTCAAACTGGCGGCCCCTGAGGCAATTTTGTGGCTGACCAATACATTTCAATTATGCATTTATTTTAATAGTTTTTCTAGATTTCAATAAAGCATAAATTAATTGCACAGTTTATTGCAATAGTGTTTGTTAAAAAAATAAAAAGGTGCTAGCAAAAGTATCTGGTTGTAATGAAAGTTTTCCACCAGAAAGCTTTCTTGATAAAGTTACAAGCAAAAAAATATGGAAGCAGTACTTTTAGTGCAGGTCACCATCCAAATATAAAAGATTTTCCGCCAATGTTTTCGTAGTTTTTCAAAGCCTTCGGCCCAAAAACAGATCAACCTCTTTTTGCATGTCCTGTGTAGAATGGAAGATAGCACCACAAGATGTACCTGCAGGTGTGAAAAAAGGTAGAAGTCCGAAGCAGGGATGTCAGGGTTATATGGTGGGTGTAGTAAAAGATACCAATTGAGTTGTTATAGAGCACAGCTGGTGAATGCAGCAACATGCATTCTTGCATTATCTTGATGGAACATTACCTTTTTGTGCCAGAACTCAGTTTGATGTTTTTCCTTGATAACAGCATCAGCATGGACTAGCCTCTCACTGCTCACCTTACTGTTGATGGTTTTACTATTTTTCAGATACTCTTTGTGGATAATACTATGGCAATTGCACCAGATACAAAGCATGATCTCTCTGTTAGTCAAATTGCACTTTCCAATGCTGCCTATGGGCTCACCGGTCATGCAGACCTACCCCCTTTTCGGCCTGTGTAAATCCACTTTTCATCACAAGTGACGATCTGGTCCAGAATTTTGTCTCTGTGTTGATGTTTAAGCAGATTAGTGGATTAGTACAGAACATGTCTGCTGTTATCTGCTTGAGTCAGCTCATGTGGCACCCAGCGATTGAACTTCAGATCACGAATTTGTACATCACGTTTATGTGATGCATAACGCAGCTAATGTACACAGTACAAACATTTAACCCCTTAGCAAGCTCTTGAGTGATTGCATACCGATCTTCTTCCACAAGTTCTCACAGGCATCAACATCAGTAGATCGGACAGAGCACTCTACTTGAATGTCATAGTCCTTGTTTTTGAACTTCTGGTACCAAACCTTTAGAGTGTCATATGATACAACATTAGTACATAAAGCTATACACATAATTTGGTGACATTCTGTAGCTGATTTTTTGTAACAGAACTGGAAGTAAATGATGGCTGTAATTTGGTAGTGTGATAGTTCCAATTCAGACACATTATACTAAATGACAATGATATGTTTTTACAAATTTCACAACACAGTTTTCTAAAGCAAATATCTTTCTTTCAAATGCCAAAAATTGTTTGACAAAATATGATCAAACTTGGCAATGCGAACAGTTTGCGCAGACAATATTTGTGATGGCAGGAAACTTTCGTTGAAACCTGATATATATGTATGCATATAAAAGTGTTCGGACAGATCCAAAAAGAAGCTTGTTAATCCTTGTATCTCAGGAAATGGCAATTTAAAATTTAAATATAAACAGCATTTCAGACATATGAATTGTGTTTGTATACGCAATTGCTATTCAGTGAAAAGAAACAGAACGAATTGATATAGGAGGTCAGTTTAATGAAACAATTACAGACTTAATATGCTTGCATGCCAGGACACATAACAGATAAGGTGGGGTGTCAGTACAGTCAGTAGATAATAATAACGCAAAAACTAAGTTATTGCCAAAATTAGAAGTACATAAGTGCTAACAAAGGTATAAACTTCTGTTTTTACCATATGTGTCATTTGGTAAATGGATATTTATGCTTGTGAATCCACCATAATCAGATAGTTAACAAATAAATTCACTTGACAAAAATCTTTGGAGGGTTTTTTTTTTTTTTTTTTTTTTTTTTTATAAAGAATGAAAGATTAGTTTTTATATCAGTTTTCTTTAATTTTACATAGATAAAGACATGAATGTTTATAAGTGTCTCTTGCTTTGCTTCATTAAAATGGTGTTGAGTTGAAAGTCTTTTTAAGAAGAAGAGTGGTAGATTTTCCGATTCATTTATGAGGAAAGTTTTCTTCGAAACTGGCATGGAGCTGGGCAAATTCAAACTATCATCTGTAAAATGCCCAAGGCCTAAACCAACAACAGATTCAATCCTTGCCATAACATAATTTATGATTAGTTGCAGGTTCAGATCGGGAAGATTAGAAACAGCAATTATAACAACATAATTTTGTTGCCACGAACATTGCACAGTTTTTCTTTTTTTTAACAAAGCCCATAACTGTGAGATTTTTGGGGGGAGAGTGCAAATTTCAGTGATTTATGAAGTAAATAATAAATTTGCAACATGTGAAACAGTGCAATGTATAAAAGCTAACAAAACATTCTTAAAATAACAGGGAAAGTTAAAAGGATGATTTCAACATAGACACAAGGATTTATTAACAATACTGCAAACTGCCAAAAAATTCTGGTAACAAAGCAATGTTTAAACTAGTTATTTATTACATTATTAAATTAATATGAATAATTAACAGTAGTGTTTAATTATTTAAAGTCTTAAGAATAACATTCATATACAGCTCTAGATCTATGGGGGAGAGTGTGAAAACTCTGAATGACAGCTTTCAGATCACAAATTAACATCTTTCTACCATGTGAATGATTGGGAGGGGAACAGAGGACACAAGAACACATCTGGATAAATATGCTGTTTCTCCTTAATAATGAAAAATGTAAGTATTGAATCATGCAAAATGTTCTCCATTTTTTCAAATTGCATGTTTTCTTTTAACTATTTTGTTTAACTGATATGCAGTGACCTTGATCAAAGTGGTTGTTTAAATATAGTCTTTTCTGTTCATGTTGCATAATTTTTGTTTCAGTGCCATGACAAGAATACAAAACCCAAAAGTTCATTTTCATCATATTATGCTCTTTTATTTTGAAAAAGGAAACAAATGCTGTCAGACCACCAGAGCTGGGACAATGGTTAGGCATTTGCCTCAGGTGAATGGCTAAAAGGGGTACCAAATCAGATGTAAAATTTTAGAAATGCACTAAAATTGTTGTTAACTAAGTTTGAAATACAACAAAAAGTACTATTTTAAAATACTATAAAAAACAATAAAAAGGGTATTGCGTTCTTCAGGTCTTCCCGCCTTCGTGTTTTTTCCTTAATCATTTAACCAAATTTAATGAAAAGCTTAATAAATTATTAATAATTTATTATTAAAAACGAGATTGAAAAACCATTAGCATGCATTTTATATAATTTTTAGTTCATCATTTCTATTATATTTATATAAATGCCTCAAATTTGTCAAGACATGAAATGATATATCTTTGCAATGGATTAAAATTAATAACCTCATCAAGAAAATCAGTTTAAAATTTTATGCATCGAATTCTTTACTGCAAGAAACGGAGTAAATAAAGCCTTACAATGGAAACCTTTAATTATACATAAAGCTGCACATTTAATAGACAGATTAACCTGATACTGAATTCTAACAAAGTGTTGGCTGTAAAGGAGTTTTCATGGTTTA